GCACATGCACTCCTATGGGCAATTTAGAGACACCAATCAACCTAAGCTGCATGTCTGTGGGAGGAAGCCGGAATACCCGGAGAGAACCCACGCAAGCACGGGGAGAACATGCAAACTCCACACAGAAAGGTCCCAGGTGGGGCCCGAACCCGGAACCTTCTCGCTGTGAGGCAACTGCGCTAACCACTGTGCCACCGTGCTGCCCCTCTGTGGGTGTTAATGAGCATTAAAGACCAGTTTACATATAAGAAAGTTGTGTTTATACAATGATACATTAAAAAGTTAACTTTGTGAATAAGAGGACCAAAAACAGTGGTTCCACATTTTGGTCTCGTTCTCCAGTGATGACGACTTTTCCAGCAGAGAAACGACACAAGCACCACACTGCTCAAACATCATGTGGAATAACAGCCAAGCTCCATCACTAAACTAAAATCAGGTGAGAAATTCAGATCACTGTACTGAATCTAAATAAACCAGCAGTGCATCCGAGGCAATGAGGCAGAAATAAAAATCCTTTGTGCTTTGTAACATAAGACAGAAAATGAAAACGTGACTTGTCCCCGCGCGTTGTTGTACAGAGAAGCCAGAGAACAAGTCTGGAGCTACAGCAACTGAAGCTCTGATGAGAATATTAAGTAATAACTTAATCAAAGGTGTCCTCTTCTGAACCCTTCACCTCATCAAATTCATCACAATATACAGACGGTGCTCCTATGTACAGACACTATCTACAGTCACTGCTCATCACAGCTGCTGTTATGCTACACCCCTGAGGACGTCCGTGAGCTGAGCAGCTCCTTGCTCCTCGCCCACTGCGTAACCACTAAACCCAAGTAGAAAAATAGAAATTGTCCCTCAAGTCAATGTCATTTTGTGCCGGACGTGCACCAGACGAGTCCGAAGCAGTTGAGCTGTTCGCAGGAATGTTGGGAGGTGGATCAGACCTGGGCCGACGCCTCCTTCAGTCTCTGGCCCTGTTTTTGGAGTTAGTCTTGTTTTGTTGAGGCCACGGTGCCAGATCAAACTCATAAATCCACAAAGTAAATGCTTCGATACCTTTGTCAACCCAGGTCTGTTTTCTTTTTTTGCTTACTGATGGAAAACAACCCCTGAACACTGGATTAAAAAACATTAACATGAAGAACAGCATCAGTGGCAGAAGTCCCTGAATAAATTCCCTTAAA